ATCCAAAAGAAGTATGAAATTCTTTGATGATTATTTTAGAAATGAATATTCATATCTAAAATGATAAAGGTATGGATTAGATAATCTCTCAGGATATAGCAAATGTTTCTTTATTGTTAACCTGTATCCAGAGCATTGCATTAGGGCTAGTAGACATAATAGCTAGCATTTATGAAGTATTTACCGTATTTTCCTTGGTCAGATACAGCTGTACATGCTTGCTTTCTGTGCTTCTTCTCTTATTGTGCTTACAACAGTTTTAAGAAGCGTTTATTTTTACAGTTCAGGAAACCAACGCTTAGAGAGAGATGAAATAAATTACTCTTCCAGAGCTCTTTCTGTTAACCACTTCATAATTCTGATCTATTATAAATAACTAATGATCTCTATTCAGAATTAATTTGTGACTGTGATGTTTCTGTTTGCCCCTCATGATGTGAATTCTGTAGTCTGACTCTCTAAGACCCTTTGGGGCATATCATGTTTGGCTGAAAAAGGAACAGCAGTGTGCTGCTGCATTTCCACAATGCTGAAAAGATGAGGTGGCAACAATAGGAGCTTCTGGACTGCCTGTAACCTAGTTATTTAGTCATATATCTTTTTAAAGTATTGAATTTTTAAAAATCATCCTCAGTATCACTAATCCAGAAGGATGAAGCTCCATAAATACAAACTGCTAAGAGTATTTCTAAGCATTTGTTTTAGAGAAGTATTTCTTTATTAATTAGGTATCCTTTAACCACTTGAGAATCCATGAAAACTGTAGATGCTGTTCTGAGAAATATTCTTAAAATTGCACTTAGTTAAATAAGAGGAATAGTTTGCTTTTATGCAATGCTTAGAAATTGTTTCTGTTTGCTGGCTTATACTTACAGAAAATCTTGCTTTTCATTATATTTTTATTGTTCTGTTTTGCCTGGTAAGCTGCCAAATGGTGTCACTTACCATACTGGAACATATCAAGACCGGTTAACAAAGCTCCAGGATCATCTTCGCCAACTTTCCATTCTCTTCAGAAAGCTGAGATTGGTCTACGACAAATGCAATGAAAACTGCGGAGGAATGGACCCCATTCCAGTAGAGGCAAGTTT